TCTAAAGTAAATAAAAACAGGAGCATATTAGTGTATATATATATATAATTGTACTTAGCTTAGAGAAAAGAAAAAAAGATCGTGTCTTGTATATGTAAAGCTTGTAATAATTAATCGAGGTCAGGAATTGAATATCAAATAGGAATTTGATCATAAAAGGCAAACTTAATAATTAATTGATAATGTGAAAAATGTAGTAGTACAAGAGTAGTATAACAAAGTATAAATAATTTAAAAGTTTAATATAGTGATAGCATGAGTTAAAGTTAAATTTGTATGATCAAAATATGATGCAATAGCATAGAATCAATTTACATTTATAAGTAGAGCAAAAGAAAAATAAAATTAGTATCAATTTTTTTTTATAAATAACCTGATTGTATTTAATAAAGTATTTATCTTGCTATTTGAGTTCAATTTTTGGTAATGCAGGTTACTAATTGATATCAGTTGATAGTAGAGGTGCAGGCGAATTGTTCCAATAATGCCTTAACTTTGCTGTAATGTGCTGTAACTATATTAAATAATTATTAAAAGTTATGGCATATTTGTCATAACTTTTAATAATTATTTAATATAGTTACAGCACGTTACAGCAAAGTTAAGGCATCATTAAGACAATTCGTCTACACCTCTAGTTGATAGATCAGTTCAGTTATTTTAACCAAATTTTATATATCAGAAATACAGATTATATGCTGATACATATTTATTATTTCAATGAATAAAAATATATAACAGGTAATAATATTTAATACATTAGAAATAAAAGTTTAATTTATAAAAGATCATTTAACTAATAAAAAATACTTATAATTCTAATTAAAAACAAAAATCTAATATATACTTAAATTCATCATTGTTTTGTATACCAATAATCATATGTCTTTTCAAAATCAAATAATTCAATAGATGGTCCATTTAAAGCTATCATTAAATGATGATTAAGTGTTTCAATATTCATTTGATTATGAAGTCGAGTTTTAATAAGTTTTTGATAAGAAAAAACTCATTCAACAGTTGCATTAGAAACAGAGATAAGTAAAGCAATTTGAATTAAAGTAGAAGTAGCAGGAAAATTATAAATAAATGTAGTTTGTAAAAAAATAAGGTTTCATGTATTAACAAATTTAATAGAACAATAATTTTTAAAAAAAAATTTAACCATTCCCTACTCATTAATTAAATCTTTTTTTTCTAATAATGGTATAAATTGTTGATTATTAATAATTTTTTCTGTTCTATAAAAATTACTAAGAATATTAATCGCTTCATTACCATAGTTTGCTAAATCATTATCAGATATTAGTAACTGTTTTGGATTATATATTTTTATAGCTTCATAAAGTTTTCGATTTGGAAAATAATTATTTAGACTTGTTATTGTAGCAGATGCAAATTCAGAAATAAAGATAGAAAATTGACTAGTATCTAAATTATTTTCTTCTATATATTTAAGTAAATTTTGTCCATAAGTAGGTAAAACATTATTGTTACCAATAAATTGAACTTGTATTGCATTGCATGCCATTGTAATATATTGTTTGATATCTGTAAATGAAATATAGTTTGATTGAAAAATATGTATTAATTTATCTATTATAAAAAAATAATCTGTCAAAAACATAGTTACAATTTCAAAAGTTTGATCAATATCTGCTAATAAAATAGCTGCCTGCATATTATTTGCTGCTTCATCTAATAATGCTCCTTCAATTGACTCTAAATTTTAATGAAAATTATAAATAACATTTGAAAATGAAAGCTATTGAGTAGATACAATATTTAATATCATTATTTCAGGTTCTTTTAAAGTATTTTGTACTATTTTTAGTGTTAATAATCTTTTATAAGAACTACTAAAATATGTATAAATTCTTTTTACTAACTTTTTATATTTTTCAAAATATGATACTTTTTTAGCAGCATCTTGACCTGCAAGATGTAAATAATGTGCTATACAGTAATTCTTAGTAATAAAAAGATTATACTTTTTAAGCCATGCAGCTCTATTTTGATAACCGAGCATAATACTTGCATCATTACTTCCAAAATGAACCAAATTTTCAATATTAAGTAATTTAGCTAATATAAATCTTTTTAAATTTATAGTCATTGTTTTAGCACTACAATCCTCTAATTCAATCATTCCAAGATAACATAAAATAGGTTTATTTTCAGATAAGTGCTTTGTTACAACTGCAAGATGTTTATTAGTAAATATAGTACTTTCATCTA